CTTTGTATCCACTAAACTATCTTCTCCTCAGTTCTTAGTAAATACCTTTCCACTTTCTGTTTCTATTTTTTCGACTACTTTAAATATTTCTTTCTTTTTCTTTTTTTTCTTTTCTTTTTTTTTTTTTTTTTTGAGATGGAGTCTTGCACTGTCACCCAGGCTGGAGTGCAGCAGTGGGGCAATCCCTTCTCACTGCAACCTCTGCCTCCTGGGTTCAAGCGATTCTCCTGCCTCAGCCCCCCATGTAACTGGGATTACAGGCGACTGCCACCATGCCCAGGTAAATTTTTTTGTATTTTTAGTAGAGATAGGGTTTCACTATGTTGGCTAAGCTGGTCTCAAACTCCTGACCTCGTGATCCGCCCACCTTGGCCTCCAAAAGTGCTGGGATTAAGGGTGTGAGCCAGTACGCCTGGCCTACTGTAAATATTTCATATGAGTAAAATTATACAGTATCTCTCTTTTTGTGACTAGCTTATTTAGCTTAGCGTAATGTCCTTGAGTTTCATCCATATTGTAGCATGTGATGTAATTTACTTATTTTTTAAGTCTGCATAATATTCCATTGTGTATGTATACCACATTTGCTTTATTCATTCATCAATAGACATTTGGGTTGCTTCTACCTCTTGGCTGTTGTTAATAATGCTGCAATGAATATGCATGTGCAAATATCTCTGCTAGATCCTGTTTTGAATTATTTTGAATATATACCCAGAGGAAGAATTAATGGTTCATATGGTGATTCCATTTTTTGGTATTTGTGGAACCTCTAAACTCTTTTTCATGAGGGCTGAACCATTTTATATTTCCATCAACAAACATGAAGTTCCTAACTCCTCTATATTCTCATCAACACTTGTTATTCTCTATTCCTGAAATAGTGACTTTTCTGATGGCTGTGGGGTGATATCTCATTGTGGTTTTAATTTGCATTTCCCTGATAATTAGAAAGTTGAGTATCTTTTAATGTGCTTATTGGATCTTTGTATATCTTCTTTGCAGAAATGTCTGTGTAAATCCTTGGCCCATTTTTAAATTGAGTTGCTCTTTGTCATTGTTATTTCCTTGGAAAAGTCCATATATTCTAGATATTAACTCCTCCCCAGTTATATTATTTGCATTTATTCTGTGCCATTCCATAGGTTATCTTTTCACCCTGTTGTTTTCCTTTATATGCAGAAGATTTAAGTTTGATATAGTCTGATTTGCGTATTTTTAATTTTGTTCCCTGTGCTTTTTGTATCATATTTTAAAATTTGCCAAATTCAATGTCCTGAAGCTTTTCTTCTATTTTTTTTCTGTAAGTTTAAGGTCTTACATTTAGGTATTGAGTTCATTTTGAGTTAATTTTTGCATATACTATAGGGTAAGGGCCCAACTTCATTTCTTTGCATGTGGGTATCCAGTTTTCCAAACACCACTTGAAGAGCTGTCAGCTTCCTTGTACTAAATGAATGGGTTTTTTTGCTGCTGCTTTTAAGATTCTCTGTTTGTGCGTAATTTTTGACAGTTTGATTATACTGTGTCTTGGTATAGAGTTTTTTAGATTTATCTTATTTGGAATTATTTGAGCTTCTTAAATGTTTGGGTTCCGTTATCTCCTAAGATTTAAAAAATTGGGGGCCATAATTTATAAGTTTTCAGACCTTTCTCATTTACTTCTCTTCTGGTATTCCCATAATGCATATGTTGCCCTGCTGGATGGTGTCCCATAATTTCTTTAGGCTCTGCATTGTTCTTTTCTTTTTGCGCCTGTGACTCTAATTTTACAAGTTCTGTCTCTGATTTTGCTGATTTTTTCTTCTGCTTAGCCAAGTTACCTTTTGAGTCTTTCTAATGAATTTTTCAATTCAGTTATTTTATACTTCAACTCCAGAATTTCGATTTGGTTCTTCATAGTTTCTACTCTGTTAATATTCCTATTTTGTTTATTTGTTATGTTCTTCATTTCATTTAGTTGTCTGTTCGTGTTCTCTTTTAATTCATTGCACATACTTGACTAATTTCAAGTCCCATGTCTGGCAATTCCTGTATCTTCATTTGTTTTCGGTCAGTTTCTAGAGATGTAATTTTTTTCCTTTTAATGTGTGAGAATCCTTTCTTTCTTTTTATACTTTGTATTCTTTTGTTGTTGAGATTTTAACATTTCAAACATCAGCCAACTCTCCCAGATTTTGTGAGATGATTTTCTACAAGGAGAACTCTCCTCACTAATTCTGGATAGAGATTCCGTGGCCTACTCATGCTATTTTTCTAGTATACATTCTTTTCTTTCTCCTTTAGGCTTGTGTGTGTGTAATCTGTTTGAAAAGGTTTGCTGATTTCTGTAAAAGACCCTCCCAAGACCCTCCCCTGCTGCTTGAGAGTGGCCTTTCTGGGGCTGCATTAAATTGTTGTACTGGTGCTCCACCTAGTGTCTATGTCTGGAACTTCAATTTTGGTGCACCTTTGGTTGCCTTTGCTTTGAAAGACCCCATTTTTATTGGTACTTGAATACAGGCAAGTCAGAAGCCAGTCCTTGGGCAACCTCCTTAAAAATCAAAATATTGAACATAAGGGATTAAATGTTTCCTTCCAAATGCATTGCACAGTGTGGAGTGAGAAAGACTCTAGTGAGAGAGACTGGAAACAATCATGATTTTTCTTGCCAGGTTGTTTCAAAGATAGTCTGGAGGTACAGAAACCTTGCAATTGGTGTCTGAAATTCCTACAGAGGCATTTAGTACATATAGCGTTAAAATTGTGCCTTGCTGTTGAGGTTCCAGGGCTGTTCTGCTGTCTTGCTGATGTCACTATCTTACACATTTTTTAGTCCTTTTTAATAAAATGATTTTTTAATGATTAGGACCTGAACAATTTTCATCACTATTCTATGGCACAAAGACTGTATACATTTTTACAAGATGTTAGAATTGACTATCTTTGAAGAAAATCTTCATAATTTTTGCCTAACTTCATTGCCCCTTTCTCCTGTCTTGCTCTTCCCATCAACTTAGTACAACTAGTATTGATACTCTTCTACATTTTATGCTGTTTCGTAGATAACTTTTTATATTTTATTTTAAAACTTTTAGTTATCTCCGTAAGTTGTATCATTTAATAAATTTTTTCCATTCCTTTTATCTTCGTTGATACCATGTATCATTTTACAGTTTCTTATGCAGAAAGGAACACACCCACATTTCGTCAGCTATCAAAGAGTTTTTTGCGGGGGGCCTTTTATCTCTATCCCCCAAACATGGCCTAGGGCAAGACACAGAGTAGGTTTTGGTTATATAAATGTTCACTCATTATTTCTTAAGCATCTTTGTGACAGATACTGTCCTAATCACTGGGGATGGAGCAATGAACAAAACAGACAAAAACCTACGACTTGATAGGGGCTAATATTCTACTGTGGCAATATAAAATAAACACATAAAGGAATAAATGTATTATGTGCAGAAAGGGGTGCGATTTTAAAGAGAGTGGTTGAGGAAAACCTTACTGTGAAAGTTCCATTGAGCAAAACTCTTAAGGGTGTGAAGGAATGAATGACAGAAATACGACTATGGGGAAGAGCCTTTCATGTCAAGTGAAAAGAACAAAAATCCTGGAGAAATATAATGAATTTGGAATGCTCAATATACAACAAGTAGGTCTAATGTAGCTGGAGAGGAATGACCAAGGACAAGAGTAACAAAGTATAAGATTAGAAAGATAAAGAGGAATATTTGTAGGGAGGTGGGTGTAAAAAAGAGGACAGGTTGTTTATGGTCTCATAGGTTATCGGAAAAAACTCGATATTACTATAAGCCATATGGGAAGACAAAGGGGCAGCATGGTCTATTTCTGATTTATAAAGGACTTCTTTAGCTACTTTGTTGAGAAGAGACTGTTAGGTAGATGTGCACAGAAGTAGACACATGGCTTAGGGGGCTCTTGCAATAATTGAAGCTAGGCATGGTAGTGGAAACCATTGGGAAATATAGGAGGTAATTAGAAGGGGTCATTTAGTCAGTTCAGACTGACAGAATAGCACAGACTCAGTGTCTTAAACAACAGATATTTATCTCTCACATTTCCAGAGGCTGAGAATTCTGATATCAGCGTTCTGGCATAATTGAGTTCTGATGAAGGGCCCTATTCCTGGTTTCCAGAAGGCCATATCCTTGTTGTATCATCACTTGGTGGGGAGGGGAGAGAGAGAGAGAGAGAGAGAGAGAGAGAAATAGAATCTCTAATTTATTGTCTTATAAGGGCACTAATCTTATCAAGAGGGCTCCATTCTCATGACCTAATTGCCTCAAAAAGACCCTATCACCAAATATCAACACCTTGGAAATTAGAGTTTCAACATATAAATTTGAGGCAGGGGATATAAACATCTAATATATAACAAGGTAAATGTTAATAGTAGAGAGCCCAAAGAAATTTGTTTATGGATATAAATGTGAGCTGTAAGAGAACTGATTAATCGATACATTTTATTAACATGAAATTGACAAATAAAACATCTATAACCACTGCATCTTATGCTGGATGCCAGTCAGTTGTGTTGGTCATAGAATTTTTCTTTGCCTCTGAAAAGTTCTGTTTTTCAGCTGGCTTCCTGGAAATGCTACCTTTGAGAATGTACTGCCTCTCCCCTCCCAGTTAGCCAATGCTATTCACGTGGAAATAAAGAATAGCTCACCATCATGGCCATCTGAGAACGTGAAGCAGCTTTCTATAAATCAGTTAATGCGATTAATTTTAAAATAACAATCTTAACTGCAATGCTGTAATATTTTGATATTATAACCAAATTAGAAATGATGCTTTATCAGTATAGTGATAATAACATTTAAATGTTAGTACCTGATTAGTAGTACCTGGTACGAGGGAAAACTAAGTATGGTTTCTAAGATACAAATAATGTTTTTAAGTAAAGAAGAAAAGCTATTATAATTCCATGTGCCTGTTGACATTATATAGTCCTTTGATTAACCATTTTTCCCCTTTCCTTCTGATTTCAGATGTTCTTGGCAGCTCTGGCACTCAGCTTTATTGCTAAGGCACTAGGTGCAGTTGTTATGAAAAGTTCCATCATTCATATAGAAAGGAGATTTGAGATATCCTCTTCTCTTGTTGGTTTTATTGATGGAAGCTTTGAAATTGGTAACATTTATTTTTTTCTATTTTAATAACCAAACTTGCAAAGTTAAAAAAAAAATATGCTTTACACCACTGGTTATCAACTGGGGTAAATTTATCTCTCACAGGCAATTTGGCAATGACCAAAAACATTTTTGGTTGTCATAACTGGACAGGGACTGGGGGGCGAGGGAGGTACTACTGGTATCTAAAGTAGAGGTCAGGGGTACTGCTAAATATTCTATAATGTGCAAAGCATGATGTAGCCAAAAATGTTGATAGTGAGGATGTTCAGAAACCCTGATTCTACACAAATTCAATTTTTGCAAACTAACACCATGTCCTACTTTACCTCCCCTCTCTCAAGATGAAGAAAGTTTGGGAGAGGACTGTTATTCTTAAGGAGAAAGGGATCTTTTCAGAGCAACCTACATTAGACTTCTATTGTTTCACTGAGCACACCAAAATCTTTCCTTTGAAATATTGAAGATATTTTGTTGTCTTCATTTTAACTTGGATTTCTCCAATAATAGCTCAGGGAAAACATTTTCTGGTTCATATTTGTGTCTTTCCCTATTTAGTTATTTTCTTCTAGAGCATTTATGAGATGAATATTAAATTTCGTGGGAATTTTTCTCTTTAAATTTTTTTCTCCTAAATTTCTATTGTTTTTCTTTATGTTTCATTAATCTTTGCTGATGCCATCAGTCATCTTACCATATCAAGTTCTAATTTGCATATATATCTATATTTTACATTTACAACAGCACTTACTATTTTTAGGCTGCCAGTTCTGATTTTATGGATGCAATGTGCCCTTGTACTCCTAAAGACACTACATTTTTTATAAAGTAAAAAGTTTACTCATTCATTTTAGTGCTTTTCTTCCAAACTATTTTTATGCTATTTTTTTCATAAATGCTCAGTAATCCTTAACTGCTATTTGTTCATTGTTATGCATGAGGCTCCAGAAGGATTAGAAGTGGTCATGACTCTTTTCATTTGATATGCTCTATGTATGTTATTTAATATAAATGACTTATGCACGACATTAAATCTCAAGTGGTTTCTCCTCCAGGGACCTTTCTGGAAGCTCCTTTTTTTTTTTTTTTTTTTTTTTTTTTTTTGAGTCGGAGTCTCGCTCTGTCGCCCAGGCTAGAGTGCAGTGGCACGATCTCGGCTCACTGCAAACTCTGCCTCCCGGGTTCACGCCATTCTCCTGCCTCAGCCTCCCGAGTAGCTGGGACTATAGGCGCCCGCCACCACCCCTGGCTAATTTTTTATATTTTTAGTAGAGACAGGATTTCACCATGTTAACCAGGATGGTCTCGATTTCCTGACCTCGTGATCCACCTGCCTCAGCCTCCGAAAGTGCTGGGATTACAGGCGTGAGCCACCGCGCCCAGCCTCTGGAAGCTCTTGATTAAATTCCCCCTTTCTGTGGTTTAATACCAGCTCTGTCCCTCTGTTTTTGTCATTAGTATGAAACTTCTTGAAGACAGATGCCATGGTTTATTCTTTTTCAAGTAACTTTCTTATTTCTGGCTGTGAGCTTCATGTCAGGTACATGATAGAAATTTAACTAATATAAAGAATAAAAAAAGAAATGCATGAAGGAGCACCTTACCCTCAGATCAGGAAGATTCATCTCCATTTTTCTTCATTGCAATATAATCCAGTCAACTCCAAATTTTTCAGTAAAATTTTGCTTCACTAATATTGCCAAGTAATTCAAGTGCTTTTTTTTTTTTGTATTTAAAACAACTTTTCAGTGAGTGGTCTAATGTAGGTGAATTCACCTTCTCAATTAAATTACATCATCTTTGAGGGAAGGCACTATGTCTGGATTCTATTTGCATCCATTCTGGGGTTTTCAATTCCAGACGCAAAATTGAGCTAAGTTGTATCAACATACTTTTGTTCTCTTTCTAGGAAATTTGCTTGTGATTGTATTTGTGAGTTACTTTGGATCCAAACTACACAGACCAAAGTTAATTGGAATCGGTTGTTTAATTATGGGAATTGGAGGTGTTTTGACTGCTTTGCCACATTTCTTCATGGGATAGTAAGTGTTTAAAAAAAGAAAAAAGAAAAAAAGAAAGCCTCTGTGCCAGTAACTATCGGTACCTTGTAAATTAGGAGTAGAATTTTATTATTATCCCTTTAAATAGGCAGTTGCCTTTTGAGAAGTATACCCACTAAGTGTGTATAGAAATAGTGTCTATTTGTCTACATAATCACTTTATTTATCATAGCTTTCATAGACTTTGAAGTAACAAAAAGACTAAACTGCAGAGTTTCAAATGAAATACATAGGCATTTTATGAGTTTTTAGTATAACATATATACTGTATGTCTTTGCCTATGAGATTTTGATTATTTTTGATAACACTTCAACACTTATACCTCTACCCACTGAGGTATAGGTGTTCCCATCATTTCGCTGAAGCTGTTATTCCTAAGGTCACTGTGTAGTTATAATTACAGTCAGATGCTCCTCAGAGAAAAGTGAAAATGGCACATGAGGGAGAAACTTATTTTTCACATTAAAGTTAATGTAGCCAGTTCAAGGATGATATGATTCTACCTCTTTCCATCGTACTGCTATGCCTTGCATGGCCTTGGCCTCATGATCCAAATTATGGCAATGTATTTCCAGGCAACAAGGCAGAAGAAGAGAAGAAGAAGAAGAAACAAACAGTTCACACAGGCTGAGGCTTAAGAAGCATTTTCAGGAGCAAAATATCTCCACTGACTTTACATTTACCATATATGGGCTACATTTCACACATAACTATATAAATGCTAAAAAAAAAAATAGACGTTATTCCAAGATACCATGTTCCCAGTTAAAAATCCCAACTATGATTACTGTGGAAGGAAAGAAGAAAGAATATTGAGAGACAAGGAGCAGTGTCTGTTAGAGACACCAATTACTTTCTCATTGCCAAATCCAGCAATGATGTCATTTGCTCACCATATTAATTCCATCTCCCTGCCATATTTGGCCCTTATAAGAAGTTTCTTCTTAGTGGTACTGCTCTAGCTTGTTTTCATCATACTGCACTCTCTTGATTCATTTTCTATCTTTGTGTCTTCTTCATCATGTCCATTTTTTTTCCCTCTGCTTTTGGCACGATACCGTCAGAGTCCCCTAATTCCCTTTTTAATCTTTATTTATTATTTGTCATGATTTGTATGGAAAATAAACCTCAAAGGCAACTGTCACAGCTTCATCTTTCATTCCACCCTAAAATTAAGGACAACAGTCTAGATCAGCATTTCTCTAAATATGACATAATGTGTGACACCTTTGCACCTGTTATTTCTACAGCCTCGAATACCTTTGTTTCTTTGTCTACCCTTCTATTCATCTTCAAGATTCGTTTTACCTGTCATTCTTATTTTGGTGTCTTCTCTGATCTCTTCCTACAACCTCCAAGCAAAGCTGATCATATCTTTTGTCTCTGTGACAACTCAGGACCTTGTATATTAAACTTATACATTTTATCATATATGTTTATATTAGTGTGAAATTCCTTAAGTACAAAAACTGTGCATTTTATTTCTAGTTCTTTGAAGCTGAGCATAATGCCTGGAATACAGTAGGCTGCCTTTAGAGCTCACATGGTACCTAATTATTTATAGATATTAACATCTCTGTTATTCCTATCAAGTTTTCTCCCATGTAGTTGAAATGGACTAGATTTTATTTTTACTACGTTTTGAAGAGTCATACATTAGAGCGTGTGTGTGACTATGTGTCCATGAAAGAAAATCTGACAGACTGATCATCTTTGAAGATAATTCAAAAGGATGAATGGTTACATGCAATTAATAATTACTTTTTAAAAAGGTGAAACCAGGGTATTTCATATATTGACCAAAATATAACCATTCCTAGGATAATAGGAAGGTGATAACCCACCTAGCCTGGGGTGTACCGAATTATCTTTCTTGCTGGACACTTCCGTTTCACTTTTACCCATCACATCTCTTAAAACACATGCTGGGAAATTGACAGAAAGGATTCTGGTAATTTGGGGAAGATAATGGTGCAAATAAAGGCGAATATTTATCTGTATTTCTAGGAAAAGTGAAAATATTCAGTAGATAAGCAAAATGTTTAATTCAGTGATGTCCTTACAGTTACAGGTATTCTAAAGAAATTAATATTGATTCATCAGAAAATTCAACATCGACCTTATCCACCTGTTTAATTAATCAAATTGTATCACTCAATAGAACATCACCTGAGATAGTGGGAAAAGGTAAGAATTAACACTGACAGTAAGAAGTCTTCCAACATGTATAAATTTAATTACATCTCTAAAAATTGTTGTGATATTCACTAGCAAAATTTAATTATGAATGAATAGGAAAAACATTTGACTCTTACAGACATAATTATAGTGTTAATGTACACAGTTGACTCTTTAACAACACAGGTTTAAACTATGTGGTTTCACTTCTATGCAAATGTTGTCCATCCAAACTGGGTGATAAACCTGCCAATAAGAATATCTGACATTTTCTATATTTTGATTGCACAGGGCCAACTGCAGAACTTAAGTGTGCATGAATTTGAGAACACACAGGCAGCCCTGTAACAAATTCCTTAATATACCAAGGGATGACTGTATTATATGTAAGAGCGTTTAGAAGTAGATCAGAAAAGAGAATATTTTCAGTAGAAAATTGACAAAGAATATATGCATTAAAGTAAAACAGGAGGAAATAGTATTAATATGCAAATCATATAACTTTGCTTTCAATGCAAAAGGCAAACTATTGTATCATTTAAAGATTTTTTGCCTATTGTAACCAAAATTATAAATTATAATTGCAAATTGTACCGCTAAGGATTTTTTTAAACCTATTAAATAGAAAAAGACTAAAAATATATAGAAACGAGGTGGAGGCAAAAAAGGATTTCACATTGTATATATTGCTGAAAGTGTATACATTTGTAAATCTTTCTGGAGATTCATTATCAACATATATTAAGAACAAAAATATACTTACCTACTTAGTCTGAAATTCTGCTATTATTGATTAATCTTGAGGAAATAACCAGGAAACTGCAAAAGGACTTATTTACAGATATAGTCATGATAAACCTAACAGAATAAAACAATAAAGAAGAAAATGAAAAATAAGATATTAAATAAACACATTTTGAAACTTATTCAACACATTACTGTCCAGTCATTAAAGTTTTGATGTTAAAAAAATCTTAACAACATGAAACAATTGTTATAATATAGCAATGGTTATATTGTGTATAACATGGTTAATGGTTAACTGTGTATACCATTTCATAATATGAATTGGATTTTTAAATATATAATGGACATAATGAGTATAATGTGCATATTTTGTGCAAATCTGGAAGATATATAAAAACACTTGAGGTGATCTTCTGTGTGCAGTGTGATTACAGATAATTTTTACTTGTTTATGCTTTTGTATATGATATGGCTTGACTGTGTCCCCACTCAAATATCACCTTGATTGTAATAATCTCCACATGCCAAGAGTGGGGCCAAGTGGAGATAATTGAATCATGGGGGCGGTTTCCCCCATACTGTTCTCATGATAATGAATAAGTCTCACAAGAACTGATGATTTTATAAATGAGAGTTACCCTGCACACGTTCTCTTGCCTGCCACCATGTGAGACATGTCTTTGCTCTTCCGTCACCTTCCACCATGATTGTGAGGCCCCCCAGCCATGAGGAACTGTGAGTCCGTTAAACCTTTTTCCTTTATAAATTACCCAGTCTCAGGTATGTATTTATTAGCAGCATAAGAATGGACTAATAGACCATATTTTCAAAGTTTGCAAAGTGAATATAAATTACTTGTACTTGTAAATTTTAAAAAAAGAGTAGAGTAAGAGTTAAGTAGTTGAATTTGTAATAGAAATGCTAAAATTAATGTTTACAATGAAACACTCTCTTATCTACACAGGTTGTGTGAAGGAATCTGGGTCATACATGTGGATATATGTGTTCATGGGCAATATGCTTCGGGGAATAGGGGAGACTCCCATAGTACCACTGGGGCTTTCTTACATGGATGATTTTGCTAAAGAAGGACATTCTTCTTTGTATTTAGGTAATGTACACAAAATATTAAATTGCATGATCACTTTCCCTTTGTCTACTTTTGAAATAGTAGAGTTACTAAACTTATTATTTCGCCTATTAGAACATATATTTGGGTATATGAATTGTATCATGTTTCTTTTAAAAACATGGTGAATAAGAGCCATGCATTCTTGGCATCTAGTAAAATTGCTTTATAATATTTTCAGGTATATTGAATGCAATCGCAATGATTGGTCCAATCATTGGCTTTACCCTGGGATCTCTGTTTTCTAAAATGTACGTGGATATTGGATCTGTAGATCTAAGTAAGTGCAACCAGAACAAGGTACTATGATAATGTCTTTCTAAGCACACACGCAGAAAACATTTTTCCAAATAACTGAATTCACTCTTTCAATAGTCCTTTGCTTAATATAATTAGAAAGTTACAAGTAGGAAATAAATGCATTACTAATCAGAAGAAATATAAAATCTAGCTCCCATTTATACTATCTTTTACAGCTAAGTGTAAAATGAGAGAATGTAAACAAATTTATTTTCATGAGCTTGGTCCAAAATAACCAAATGTAAAAAGTCTCCCTCCCAAACTGACGGCCCAGTCAAGTAAATTTTATTTTTCAGTTGATGGTGGCTTGGATGTTGATGTGTAGAACTTAAAGTTTGCTTTGCTAAAGTCTTCCTGTGGCTGCTGCTTTGGTTTATGGCTGGAGTCATTTGAGAGACTTCACTGTGTAATTTATGGTCATTTTCCCTGGTCCTGGCAGAGGACTTGGCATATGGCAACATTCAGTAAGTACTTGTTGAACAAAGGAATAAAGCAGAGGACACATAAATTAAATCTATGATTTTCTTCTTCATTCTCAGAGCATACTTTCCTTCTTGTCTCATAGGTGAAAGTGATGCCATGTTATAAAAACTGTCTCAACTTCAGGCCCTTTTCCCTAAAAATATTCTTGCACCATATCTGTCTTTATCTTCTTTTTCTTTTTCCCAACTCAGTGGAAAATATATCCATCTGTAACCAATGCTGATAGATCTAGCTGGAGCTTAGATTCTCCCTTCCTGTTTCTTTATCTCCATCTTCTCTTGGATTCAGCAAACACACTCAAGTATTTCCCATCTTTATACATAGCTACAGTTTTTTACACCCCCCACACAACTTTCTAGCTGAATCTTTTTTTTATTCCTCTTCAGAGCCAAGCACCTAGGAAAATATCAACTAAATTAGCTAAGATATCTCACCTTCTCACCTCCCATCCACTTCTCATTCCAGTATAATCTGCTTCTGTTGTTAGTGAAACACAATTGATTTCTACCTACTTTGCTATAGATCTGTAAATGGGTATATTTCTATCATTTGTGTTAACTGATACTTCCAGTTCTTCTTCATGTTTTCCCTTCTTAGATATCCTATCAGCACCTAAAGCGCAATATGTCAAAATCTGATCTCATCATCTTACCTCCAAACCCACTTTATTCCCTCTATTCCTTCTCTTGATTAATACCCATACCTTATTCAAGTATTGACTGAGTTACTGTGCCCTGTAATCTCACATTTCTCTGCATTTACACTTGGTAAAACTTTTCCCTTTTTTCATTTGCATAGTTCTTGAAGTCTCTTCCAAAATATGGCTCCTCCTAGAGAAACCTTACTTCACCACTTTCTATTAGTCCCAAATGAATAGCCAAGAGCATGCCTTTATTGTAACCCTTCTCACAATGAGCTATTAATACTTGTGTGCTTACTTGCCATCTCTTTACCACATGACAGAATGACATGTTCTTAGCAAATAATAATTAGTTATGTTTGTGAATAAATAAATATGATTTTCTATCTCACTAGGACTTCAATAGATCATTCCAAAGGGATCAAAGGATCCATTTCCACGATGAGATAGACATCACAGTGGGCCAGCAACAGCCAAAAGCTTGAAAGTGTTTGCTAATCTAAAACTATAAAGAAAATACCTGATAAAATGTTTTACATGTTCAGTGTTAGACATATGACTTAGAGTAGCTACATGTTATGTATGTTATTTCTACTCATTCAACTCCAGTTTCATCATTGCTTTATCACGAAGAGTACAGAAATAAGTGGTAAATGTCCTTAGGTAAATTATTTTATAAGCTCTCTATTAAGAAACCGTTACATGATTTTATAATTTATCACGATACAATTTCTAACATTGAATGTTCAGGTATTATTATATCTTCTCTTATTCAGTGATGAGTATGAGCTTCACTTATAAAGTATACTTTGGCAAACTCCAATGCTTAAAGGAGCTGAAGAGATAAAATAAATGAGTAAAAAGTGCCAGGAACAGGAATTTAGGGTGTGATGGTTAGAATAGGAGAAATTTTTTGGTTGTGAACTGCTCTCCCCATAGGTCCAAAAGCACATGTGTTCCTCAGCTCTGGCTTATTCTTTTAATGCACAAATTTAGGCCCTGCATTGACAAGGACTTCTGATTGGTTTCCAAGAAAATCCAAAATCGAAAATTTTTATGTAGAATTTTTCAATTTTTAAGACTGTGAGTAAGCCAAGAAAAACTATTTCTCAGGTCCTATCTAGCGAGATTATGACCCTTAGTTAGTATGTGTAGAACAGTGAAAGAACAGAAAAAAAAGTCATCAAAATTAACAGTTGTCACAGGTGATGAATAAATACTTTGCATGTAGATGGAGTCACTGATTTAACCAATCATTTCCTGAAGTCTGAGTTGTTGATTATGACACAATATGATCATATAGATCAAATTTAAATCTGTGCATACTTGAAAATAAATTATTTCTAGATAGTTTGTAATCAAGTCAATGTTATCTCATATTAACGAGTTTTCTTATAGATCAGAGTAATGGTACCACTTAATTGTGCCACAAACTACTATGGTGTGTATGTTTCTGTATGCATATGCTTTTTTATTTCTTATTTTTCTTTTATTGTGGTAAGAACAATTAAAATGAAATCTACCTTCTTAACAGATTTTGAAACATACAGTGTACCCATGAATAATAGGTTTAAATTATGCTTGTCCACTTATGTACAGATTTTTTCAAGAAATGTATTGAAAACCTTTGAGGAGATTTGTGAAAATTTGAAAAAAATTATAGATGAATTGCATAGTGTAGAAATATAGAAAACCCTAAGAAAAAGGTATGTCATGAATGCATAAAATGTTTAGATACTAAACTATTTTATCATTTACTACCATAAAATATACACAAATCTATTATAAGAAGTTAAACTTATTAGAGGGGACAGCATGGCCAACTGGACACACTCAGGAAGCACCACTTCCACTGAGGAAGCCCAAAATATTGAGTAAACTAACATACTTCCAGCATATCTTTTGAGAAAAAACACTGAAAGTCAATAGAGGTGACACAGACACTGAGGCTGAAGAGAGAGAAAACTGGAAACCCAGTGCAAGGTTGTTGAACACCAGAGATAGTTTCCAGCCCTGAATGGCTCCTAGCTAAGGGGTGAGTAAAGTGGCAGTGGAACCTCCTATTCTTGCTGATGACATCTGGGATCCTACCTACAAGAGAACCCACGACCCCCAGAGACAGTGGAACAGGCAGAGGCACCTGCCCAGAGAGTGGACAGAAATAGAACTACAGCCAGCATTGAACCCAGGGGGAGTTGCATATTGGGTAGCTGCAGCAGAACGCAGCTGTAGGTGTCCAACATCCAATGCTCCCTTTCTTCCACCAAGTAGCTCTCAACTCACCTGACTGCTGAGCCAAGAGAGAGTGGGGCCAACTTTCCTGTGAGCTGGGACACATCTGTACTGTAGGCCCTTCTGCCCGCCAGTCCCTCCCAGTACTCCTGCCTGGCCACACCTGCAAGAACATGTGCACAGCACAGCCTCCACTGCTCAGCCTGAGAGTTTTTTCCAGTACTCCCACCTGGGTACTTCCTCAGTGTCCTTGGAGCACTTCAGATCCCCCAGTGTAGCTACTGCCTGAACCAGAGGGACCAGACAATGGAGCCACAGGCTAGTCCCAAAACCTCAGGGCTGCAGTGCATAGCTTGGGAGTGTGAGCTGAGATTGGTGCCAAGCACTCAAGCAGAGGAGGAGCCCCCAATCTCAGAACACTGAGAGGGGTGAGATGCATGGGGTCATGGGCCAGTGCAGAATGAGACATGCCTCTTTTCATAGGCCCAGTCCGGGAAGGCTGTGTCCTGTCTGCTAGCTCCTGCCTCTGCCTGAGGGAGCTCCATGGCTCAGAACAGTTTCCTAACAAAGGAAACACAAGTGTGGTTTACCAGTGACCAGAGAGGGCATCCCCCAAGGCCCAGGAGTAGGCCTGTTATGGGGGTCATCTGTCTTCCCTGCTGCCACAAGCACTGTTGTAAACACACTGAGAAA